TCCCCGCCTCACCTCACACCCGATTCCCCACCCCCACCGGCCAATGCCCACCCTATGCAAACCCGCTCCAAGGCCGGTGTCTTTTGCCCTAAACAAATCCTGGATCTTCACACCACCACATCCATCCCCCTTTACCCCCAACTTACCATAGTGCTATGAAAGATCCAAACTGGCATGCTGCTATGTGTGATGAATATAATGCATTGTTAAAGAATGACACATGGGAACTAGTACCCCCCTCCCCCACCCAAAACATAATCACCAGTAAATAGCTTTTAGGCACAAATTTGGCCCGTCCGGTGAGTTATCCAGGTATAAGGCCCGATGGGTGGTTCGCGGCTTTAATCAGCATTTTGGCGTCGACTACAGCGAAACCTTCAGCCCCGTGATCAAGCTTGCCACGGTTCGCATCGTCCTTAGTCTCGCATTGTCTCGTGGGTGGCCTATCCATCAGCTCGATGTCAAAAATGCTTTCCTCCATGGACACCTTCAAGAAATCGTGTATGCCAGCCAGCCTTCAGGATTTCAAGATCCTGAACGACCTCATCATGTCTGTCGCCTCAAGAAAGCTCTTTATGGCCTAAAACAGGCACCCCAGTCATGGTATCATAGATTTGCAGGTTTTATTCAGACTATTGGATTTCGCGGCTGCAAGTCTGACACATCACTTTTCATCTTCACGCATGCATTGGGGACCGCCTACCTCCTGTTATATGTTGATGACATTGTTCTCACTGCCTCCTCGCCAGCACTAGTATAGAGTCTCATTCAAAAACTCAAGGCTGAGTTTGCTATGACAGACACGGGTGACCTGCACTTTTTCCTCGGCATTAATGTCCATCGCACAGCTCAGGGTCTTTTTCTTCATCAGACACAGTTCACCCACGACATTCTTGAGCGGGCAGGGATGGTCTCCTGTCGCCCCATATCCACTCCAGTCGACACGAAGGCAAAGCTCTCCTCCTCCTCCGGCACGGCACTTCCAGATCCCTCTCTTTACAGGTCCATAGTTGGAGCTTTGCAGTATCTCACATTCACCCGACCTGATATTACTTATGCCGTTCAGCAGCTCTGCCTTCACCTGCATGCGCCTCGCGACTCTCACCTCACGGCCATGAAGCGCGTCCTCCGTTACCTCAGCGGCACCGCCACCCAAGGCATCTACTTGACCCGCTCCATGACCAACTATCTTCAGGCATACTCTGACGCTGATTGGGCTGGATGTCCTGACACCCGACGTTCTATTTCAGGGTATTGTATTTTTCTGGGCGACAACCTAATCTCATGGTCATCCAAACGCCAGGCTACCACGTCACGGTCCAGTGCAGAGGCAGAATATCGGGCTGTGGCCAATGCAGTTGCAGAGACATCCTAGATTCGGAATCTACTCCTAGAGCTCCAGCAACCCCTACGGCGCGCCACCCTTGTCTTCTATGATAATGTCAGTGCCGTCTACCTCTCATCAAATCCGGTTCAGCACCAGCGCACCAAGCACGTTGAGGTCGACATCCACTTTGTTCGTGATAAAGTCGCACTCGGCCACATAAGAGTTCTTCACGTGCCTTCCTCCTCCCAGTATGCCGACATCTTCACCAAGGGACTGCCTTCTTTGCTCTTCCTCGAGTTCAAGTCTAGTCTGGGTATCAGACCACCTCCACACCCGACGTAGCCGGGAGCATGTTAAATATATTCTATATTTAATGTAAATATATTGTTTCCTATTATTGACTCCTACCTTGTATAGGAATAGGAATCTCATGTCTATATAAACACATGTACTCCCACATATTCTTTCAATAAAAATAATCTTTCTACAGGCTATCCTTAACCGTTACAACGTGAGAATTTAACGACTATTCTCGACCGTAAGAATGTGTGTTTGAAAAAACACAAACAAGAGTTCTACACAACGGCTTGAATATAAAAATGAAGATCAAAACTTAGACGGTGTAGAAGGAAAATATACTCTCTCAAAAATACAATTCAAACTTATGAATATGAGAGTATATAACTAGAAACACAAGCTCAAAGTGTGTGTATAAAAATTAGGAATTTAAGGCTCTTAAAATAGCCAAAATATTGAAAATAATTAATAGAAGGATGAACACACTTAGAATAAAAAGAGAGGATGTTTAGAGCTTTGTTTCTTGTTGAAATATGAAGTATTAGGCCTATATTTATAGTGGAAGATGTTAATTAACCATTAGGAGGTGATTAGAGTTGAATTAATTCAAAAATCAGCAATTAGGAATAGTGTTCCAACGGTAACGGTACCCTGTCACGGTAGCTAGCTAGGTCCCGTACGGTAGCTAGGTACCTTCTCAGGCCAAAACTCTCTGGCGATACCTATACACGGTACATATACACGGTAGGGGGGACCCGTCCATACAGTAGGGCGTCCCGTGCTACGGCAGGGGGGTCCCGTTTCAGGCTAACTCACGGTACCCTTTACGGTACCCCTCACAGTACCCCTCACGGTACCTAGGTACCTTATGACCATTTTGACAATTTTTTCATTTTTGTCCAAATTATAATTTCCAATTTTGTTTAAAACCTTTTGGATGTTTGAAAATGATTATAAAAGGGTTTTAAACATATTTTATGAGTGTTTTTGAGCTTGTGAATATAGGTATATAAAATCATATCCTTACATCGGTTTCTACCTAAATTCTATGCTAGTTTAGTGTTTTGACTTCATTCTTAAGAACCGAATCTTAATGGATTCTTGTTGTACCTGAAACACTTAAACAAACGTCAAGCTCTTATATTGTTTGTTAACATCAAAACATGAGGCTTAGCAAACCAAGGCTAACAATTCACCATTTTTTCTTTTTATAACCTTTCAAAAATAATAATTATATAAATTTTAGAGCAGGGAAATCATTGTTAAAATACAAATTTTATTTCAAAAAAATATTGTATCTAATAGTCTTGCTACTACAAGATATCATATTCAAATTTTAAAAAAACAAAATTTAATTCATATTATGTTTATATATTAATTGAACTTTAAACAAACATATAAAAATGTTAACATAAAATATCTATGTTAACATATAGATATATTTTATAGAAAAATATGCAAGCCCGTACGAAGCACGGGGTAAAAACTAGTTTTTCAGTATTTGTGGCGTATCGGGAATTATTTATCTATTAATGCGCGTGTGGTGGTCCCAAAGTGGTGAGTTGCAAAGTCTAGAGGGGGGGGGGGTGAATAGACTTTGTTACAAATTTAAAACTTTTTCATTTCTTTTGAAAACGTGAAAATGAGTGTTAATCTAGAGTCCTTGTGAACTTTAGATTGTGTGCGAAATTTTGGTGGGTAGAGTGAGCAGTAATCAATATGGATGGGTTAGTTTTCACAGTTAATATAATTGCAAGTAAGAGTAAAGATAAAAGAGAGAGACACGCAAACTTTAACGAGGTTCGAAGGTGGGGTAATCCTTCTACGTCCTCAAAATCCACTATGTAGTTGGTTGTTGAATAATGAACCAACAGTTACACTTGTGTGAATTTCTGCACGATATATCTTCGCAAGGCCAATGTTGCTACTGCACTCGTGCTGGCTTTGTTGTTCCTTCGAAGGTCACGCTTCTTCAACAACTGCAACGTCCGAACAATAGGACTTGTAAGACCAACTTGTAAGAAAGTTGACCTACCCCCTTTCAATCAAGAAGTTTGATCAAAAGTTGTATCCTTCAACGTGGTGTGGTACTTGAGGCAAGGAAACCTTCAAGTGTTTACACTATAGCTCTTTGGAAGGAGGAGAAGTTTGCTTCTGGATAAGGAGTTTAGAAATCTCTCTTTATCAAGCTTTTTGGGCTAACTATGAATGAGATAGCTTTTTAGTTAGAGATTGCTTCGTTGTGTTGTTATATCTCATCGTATCTTCTCCAGTCTTCCTAGGATGATATTTATAGCTGGATTGGATAATCTATCCGTTGAATTACAATACACTATCCGTTGCATTTGCTGGCTTCAATTTTGAATGAAGATTGTGATTTTAAGATTCCTCACTGGAATGGGTGTTTGGACATACCCAATTGTTTGAGAAGGGATTCCTTTTTCCACAGAATCCGTCTTCTAGCTGTTGTTCAAGAATTCAGAACTGTAGCACTTTACTCTGTTTGTCTTCTAGTGCTTGTTTATGAATTCTGGACAGGCTCTTCAATTTTTAGAGGTCCAGACTTTGTCTTCGAGTCATTTGTTCTTGAATCAGCATAATTATCTTCAATCTAGCCGTTGAAAATCAAGAGATTGATTTTTCCTTACCAACGGGTAGATATTCTTCATTCAAGACTTAGATAACTTTTCTAAGTCTTTTCTCACTTGTCCGCTTTTTGAGAATTCCGGTCTTCCTTGAGGCATCCGGTTCTTAGCTGACAAATCCGGGAGAGTCGTTCTCAGTCTTCCGGGCGAGAAAGAGATCCGCGCTAGTCTTCCGACTTGGGTGACTTAGCCTTCAGCGGGTTGTAGCGAGACATCCGGTTATCATGTAGTCTTCCGGATTGGAGGATTTTCATCTGCTTTGAGAAATCCTTACATGTCTCTGACATTTCCGATCAAGATATCCAATTTCCATATCACTGAATTTGATTAAGTCTTCAAGCATCAAACCACTTAATGAAATATCACAACTTAATTGGAAGTCTCAAGAACTCGGTTTTAACAATATTTCTAAAAAGAAAAGTTACATTGAATATTGGGAAAGACCTAAAGTCCCTATTACATTCTAAATACATCATCATCAAATTTCCCCCTTTTTGATGATGACAAACAAGAGTTTAAGAGTTCCGGTCGCTGTACTGAGAACTAATTTTATAACTTTCTTTTAGTTTCTCATAATATACAGCTTGTTAACAAAAACTCTTAAACAAATACAATTCAAATTACAATAATTCCTAAACCAAGTCTTGTCTTAAGATTTTGTGATATTTCTTCCGCCATTGACCGTTTTCAGCTTCAGCAGAACTTGCTTGGCAAAGCGGTTGGCGTTGCATTTTATAGATCTTTAATATCCAAAGTGGATATTCAAGATCTTGGAAGCAACACATCTCTCAAAAAGCAAAAAACAAGAACAAAAAACGAAAGAAGAAAACAAAAGAAAAAGTAGAAAGACAAGAAATAAAAGGTTTTGGAAAAGAGAATTGATTGTGAAAAAGATAAAATAAGGTTTTCAAAGATGAAGGGAAAAACAAAAATTTAAAAATATTTTAAAAGTAATGTTTGAGAAAGAGAACAGATTCTGCACAGAAAAGATTTGAAGAAAATGCTTGGGAGAAGGGTGCAGAGACTGTCCAAAAATAAGAAAAATAAAGTCCAGAAAAAGAAAGAGAGGGAAGGGAAAGAGGTGAAGGTAGAAAAATTTTAAAATGTAAAATTTGAAGAAAAGAAAAATAGAGAGAGTGTTGTTCCAGAGAAAGTGTGGTATAATCCTGATAAACACGAGAATTACACCATAAACTTTCTCTACTGCCGAGAATTGCACCATAAACTTTAGATTATTTTTCTTCTCACTAGGCTTTTCTCCATTGCCGTCTATGAGGGTGAGAAAGAAAAATTTCTCCATTGAGGATAATTTTCTTGGTGTTTTTCTCAGACAGTGAATTGAAGACTTTTCATGCTGAAAGAATTGTTTGTGATGGAAATGGATTGGAATGTCTTGATTTAAATAGGGGAGGAGGAGGATCATGGGTTCCATTAAGTGAGTAGTTGGAACGGTGATAGTAAAGGAGTTTCAACTTCCAAGAAGTTGAAAAGTGGAAGGAATCTTTTACCAGTTACCAATGAATTGAAACTGTTCCAATTAGAAAATCAGTTTCGTTTGGTTTGAGAAACGTAACTGTTTTAGTTTGGCTAAGCCCAAAAGAGTGGCCCAAAAAGAAAAGAAAGCTATGTACTAAAGGGAAATTATTCCTATTGGGTTCTCAAGGCCCAAAATAAAACTATCATCTTTCATTCTCTATAGTTCTAATTTCTACTTAGGACGAGGTAGTACCAAAACAAATATGAATTTTATTTTTAAAAGAAAAGTGGTACTATTTTTCCAAAGTCATGTACATTATAAAAATCCTAAGGACCAGTACTTTTAGAGCTAGTTGGAAATGAATTAAGGATTAAGGCTTAGTTTAAGAAGGCAGATTTTGTAAAGTACCTGAATCGGAGATTTCCAATTTTAGTACCAAAACTGAGATATCCGTCTTCCATTGCTTAGAGCTCATCAATAATTCATAGACAATCACAATTATTAGCCAAAACTAGTTAAGTTCCCCCTGAATTACATTCCCCCTGAATGTATGCGCTTCAGAAACAAAAATTCTCAAAATCATACTTGAGATAAGCATAATCAATCATAATAAGCACAAATAAGAGAATTGTTGAAGCAATGTTTAAACCAATCAAGCAATGTCTAAACAAGAAGGTGTTTTCATCAAAACAAATTAGTGTTTTCACATACTTTCCCCCTTGTTTGATGAAAAGAACCTTCAGTTCCTCTTGCGTTTTGAAGATCCGGCAGCCTCATTGATACCTTGCATGTTTCCACAAAGTTCTTTAATGCGCCTTATGTTGTTGCGTCTCTCCTCTGTTTGGTTATCATCTGAGAAGTGAGCAGCAATTGTTCCTACGGCCTCTGTTCCATCCAATCCTGAGCTGGATAGGTGCTGCGCTGAGTTCTCCGGATTTCTTTGCTGTGCTTCAAGGATTAGATTAGTCATGTTCAGATGAGAAGGGATATAAGAGACTTCTCCTTCTTTGACTGCAATGGGGAGTTCTGGTATCAAGGATGGACTGTGTTGTTGAAGAATCACTTCCATCTTGCGATTTCCAGACTTTGCGCCAAGAAGTCTGAACAGTTTNTCTGTTCCATCCAATCCTGAGCTGGATAGGTGCTGCGCTGAGTTCTCCGGATTTCTTTGCTGTGCTTCAAGGATTAGATTAGTCATGTTCAGATGAGAAGGGATATAAGAGACTTCTCCTTCTTTGACTGCAATGGGGAGTTCTGGTATCAAGGATGGACTGTGTTGTTGAAGAATCACTTCCATCTTGCGATTTCCAGACTTTGCGCCAAGAAGTCTGAACAGTTTATGCGCTTCCTTCTGATTGTCAATGATCACCTTCAAGTAGTCTTTGGTCACTACTTGATTTGCTGAAGATACTGCTAGAGCTGATCTGATGTCCATTTGGAGAAGAGACATTTGCTTTTGTAGGCTGACGGTGACATTTGCTATTTGCTCTTTGACTTTGTTAATCTCCTTGAGTTGAAGATGACTGTTAGAGGCATATATCTCCATCGTGGTGCTCACAGTGTTGCTCAATAGAGAAATGATCTCTAGAGTCTTGTGCACTGACTTGCTTATTTCTTTGAGATCTGCGCTGTGTTTCTCTTCAGATTTCTCTATCAGCTTGGTGTACCTGGCTTCCATTTGCTCTATCTCTTGCCTAAAGGAGGCATGTTGAGATCCTAGGGCTGATTCAATCAGCCCTTGGACCTTCTTTGTCCAGATTTCCGGTATCTCATCTGGAAGTGTATGGGTGGAAGAGCTATGAAAATGAAAGTTGGTTACCTGATGAGAAGAGGATGTTCTTTGGAAGAGCTGCATAGGAAGAGATTCAGCATCTTCTTGTACATCTTCTTCATCAGTGATCTTTAGTGTTCTCTCAGACTCTCCTTCTGCTTCATCAAGCGCAAAATTCGATATATATCTAGAGAGAGAGTCACTATCTTCAGCTTCATTTTGTTCTTCAAAAATGGCTATTGGAGTTTTAGAGACCTCCAGTTCATCCATTTGAGTTTCTTTCTCAGCTTCTCCAGAATTCCTTTGGACTTCTACAGCTTGCTCCTCTTCATTTGTTTCTGGAAAAGTTGATTGCTCCGGAATTTCTGCTGACTTCTCCGGGATCTCAGTTTCAGGCTGGTTGGAGATCTCACAAGGAGTTGTGAGAGTCTCTAAAACTTGAGATTGGATTAGTTGCTGAAATTCTTCTTCTTCTGCTGTTTTCTGGTTCTGTTCTTGTGGTGGAGAGGCTGCTTTCTCTTGGACAGCTTCAGTCAAAACCTTTTCAAAGGCAGGTGAGGTTTCCGGAAATATTTGGAAATCCTCAGCTGTTGCTTCCAAGTCAGCTTGTGCTTCAGAAGTGAGAACCACCTGTTCTTCTGTGGCTTTAGAGAAGACTGGTTTGTAGACTGAAGGATCTTCATCATCTACTTCAAATTCTGAAATTGGTCAGTTGGCTAGGTATTCCAGATGCAGGTCTTCATGGTTCCTTTGTCATACCCAGTAGTCATCCAAGATTTCTTCACAGCTATGGTTGACTGGTATTCCTAAGCATTTCTTGATGATCTTCTCATTCTTCAGCTGTTGGTCCCAATCAATCAATTGCTCTGCTGAATTTCCAACTTTCCATGCTCTCCAATCATAGTAGAGCTGCTAGAATTGGTTATCAGCATCATCCATTTGAGGTTGAGGTGAGGGGGTTGGAAGGCTTTGGACTTGAGGGTTTTCTTCTTCAAGTTGTTGAGGACTCTGGTTGTGGGCAGAGGTTTCCTCAGCAGGTTCCTTCTCCTTCAACTTATCCGAGTTGACATATCCAGATGTTGAGGGAGAGGAGAGTTTCCTCTTCTTCTTCCTTTGAAGTTCTCCTTGCACAGAGACTTCTTCTGCTTCTTCCAGATTGACCAGAGCAAGGTTCTGTGGTGCTTCAACACTAATGGAGGGAGACACCACTTGCTTCCTTTTGGCAGTCTTCGCCATATGGATGAGTGAGACATTATCTGATGAGCTTTCCTCTGCAGTGACACTAGCACCAGCTCTGTTTTCCCCTTTTGAAGACAGATAGTATAACCAATATCTTTCTTCATACTTCTTTCCTTTAGAAGCAGCACCCATAGACTCCAAAATATGTCCAATGTACAGACCTTGACAAAGGTACTTCTGATTTGGCTTTCCCAGATGTTTTGAAATGGATTTGAAGAAGTGTGCAGCCCAATTTACCTTAGATTTGGTAATGAGAGCGTTGATGATGAAGGCTCTCTCCGGTGTGATGTCATCGGCATGACCTCCACTTCCACACTTGAGGCAAGCAATGACCAGTTCGGAAACTAACTTGTAGTCATTGTTCAGATCTGCTTTCTTCGCTAGGCCAGAAGGAGCTTGCTTAGAAATTCCAATAACGTTCCAGTCCAGATTTTGGACTGGAAATTTCCCAATTTCAACTCCAGAATTGGGAAGGCGAAGCTTTTCTCCCAATTTCTTCTATGAAAGCTTCACTTTTCTTCCTCCAACAGTGGATTTGATGACTTGAAACGTCCTCTGTGGGTCCTTCTTTGAATGAGCAGTCTTGACCTCTCCATTTTTGTAGAATTCCAGAACTTCAGCTTCATATTTGAGGCGAATCTCCATTTGAAGAAATTCGGAGAGTTCTTGAGCGGCTATCATCTCTAGATAGTTTTGATAGAACGTCGGTGAGGAGCATTTGGATTCTAACTTCTAGGAATGGACATTAGCGCCGACAACCTTCATTTTCTCAGAAATTTGACGATTCTGAAGAAATTTTAGGGTTCTTGAGGTAATTCAAAATTTTTCGCGAAGAAGACGATGAAAAAAAAATTTGAGTGGGCGGTTTAGATCTGATTAGTGGCGATTGGGTTAGATCATCAATGCCGTGGGGAAGGGAGTGACTTGTTCTTCCTTCTTCTTCTTCAGCTCGTGCTCATAGGTTCTGAGCTCGTCAAGGAGACCTTGGACAGTGTAGTTCTCCAGGTTTCTTCCTTCTTCCATGGCTGTGGCTTTGGTGTACCACTCAGTTGGAAGTGATCTCAGCAACCTTACATTCTTTTCTTTGGGAGAAAGAACGTGGTTAAGTGATGCAAGATCATTCAATATCTTGTGGAATCTTTCATCCAACATATCAAATGATTCTCCGGGAAGCATTTTGAAGCTTTTGAACTTCTCAAGCAGGACTTCTATCTTCTGCTTTCTCAGGTCCTCTGATCCCTCACATAGCTTCCCAAGACCTTGCCAAATCTCCATGGCAGTCTTGAGATGCTTAATTTTGGAGAAGGTGATGGGATCAAGTGTCTTGAAGATGGCTGCTTTGGC